ATGTTGTCTTCTAACACACAGTAATGTTTTGTTAATTTCAGTAAACTGTCTCTCTTCTATTTATGCTGCATGATAGTTTCAAGCAAGGAAGAGTTACGTTCCCGTTGTCATTTGTTGGCTTTTTAGTTAAAACCAAGACCTACTTGAATTTATTCATTTCTCTCTAACACAAATTATTCACAATCATATAGAAATACTTTCTGTATGCGTAAGACGAAAATATGCTTTCAATATGTATATATATGTGTATATTTGAAATAAACAGTTAATATTTATTTACGCATTGTTAAACAGGCTGTCTGTTTACAGACTTAACTTTATTCTTGTTTTCGTCTCCATCCTTCTTCTTCTTCATCATCTCCATCGTCATCATTATCCATTGTGGTTTGTTTTTTTCCCATCCTCTGTCGTCTTTGTTATCATTGTTGTTTTTGTCGTAAACACACCAGTGGGAAATATAACTTGATGTTTGCTAACGTCAATATATATATATAATTCTGTTTACCAGTTAGATTTTCTTGTCTAGACAATATTGCTATCATGATTATATTTAGTTGTGTGTAAACAGTTTATTGACAAGTGATAGCTTGAGCTAATGAGTCAAAACAATAACAATTATAACTTCTCCTAACATTCAATCAATGTTAGCAAGGTGTATCTGCATCTCTGAAGGGCCATAAGTTCCGAGATGGCGAGCCACCGGCATGGTGGCCACAATGCAAACATGACTGATAGAATTCAGTCTGCACTAAAGATAGGACTAGACACACATTACCCTAGTAACTAAAGAGTGTCCAATCAAAAATATTCAATCAGTGTGGAGATGGGATGGTTTATTGAATTAACGACCTATTATTATTATTCCATTGGATTCCATGTGGAACATAAGGCTTCAACAGCACATTTCCATTTCATCCTGTTTTCTGCAGTTGACTTTAGTTTCATTAGCTTCACATTTACCCACAAGTTTTCATCTATTCCTGACACTATCTCCACTTCATTACCCTTGGACTGACGCCTAACTCGTTTCCCACTTGGGTTTCAGGTGAGGTGTCTGTGATTGATACTGCATCCCAACATATGTCCATTTCATCTCCCTTTCCTTCAGCATGTTTGCTGGATGATTAGTTCTTGGTTGGTTTGCTACTTGCTAAAGTTCCTTGTGATTAATCCTTTCTGGCAAGCCATCTGGTCTTCACTACCACTGATTGAATGCAGTAGTTGACAAAAGTCTGCAGTGGCCCTTTGGAGATGTTATTCGTAATGTACCAAATGTCTAAACTATTGACCTGACATTTGTGTTGAAGATCTGAATCTTTATCCTTATGCTGGGTGCAACAGATTTTCACACTGATTCCCCAGTGATAGACGTCTGTCTTGCTTTTTCGATTCTGTCTGGCTTTGAAATCCTCATCTGTGTTGTCTTTATTTGAAACAATACTGCCTAGATAAGTTAAATAAATGAATTCTTTCAGATTCCTTCCATTGATAGTGTATGTTTTCGTTAGGTAAGTATCTTTATCACGTCTGTCTTCTATGTGTTCATTTGAAGTTCTATTTGCGCTGTGTACCTCTTCTGTTAACTTGTTGGTTTTCGTCTGTAGATTTTAGAGTTTTGTGAGAGTAGACATAAATCGTCAGTGAAGTCCAAATCTTCTAGATTCTTCTTGGTGGTCCAATGGATTAGCGACCCAGTTTCAGTGAATAGATCCTTGATTCAAATCCTTTCCCATCTATTTCAGTCAGAGTAGTTTCTATCATCAGCTTTCATCGAATAAATGCGTGACATATAACATCTAGGTGACTGAGTTCTAACTAAACCAAACAGTTGTTTTTTCGTTATTTGAAGTCTCAGGATGAATGATAAGGGATCTTGTATGTCTGTCTGTCTGTCTGTGTTGGTACGTCGAGTGTTGCAGAATGTTTTAAGATATTTTTTTCCAGGGACGAATTCATGTAGTGTTGTGAATGTGTTACAAGTTTTTTCTTGCTATACACTTATTATACATGAGTGTTGATTGATTGAACTGAAAATTCTAATGGAAGTACTTTTTAACGGGTATTTGTCACATATTCTCTCTGTCCACCATGATATCTGTCTATTCTTATTGTTGTTTTTTGTGTGTCCAAGGTGTGTATATTTGTGTGTGTGTGTGTGTGGTACTTCAATATAGGCATTTCAACCATATGCGGCACGGATAAAGACGTCAAAGCCAGCTTGGATGAGATTGAGAGAGATCAAGATAAGTGTTCACCAATGTGAATTGAGCGTAGAGATCTGCCGCACTAAGCACAATGAAATAAGATGAGAATTTTTATTACTAATGAGATGTCAGTGATTCTGTATGATTTAAAGACCCGGCATACACGTTAGGGAGAACATCTCCCACAGACTACTACAAAATTACATCAGTAGATGTTTTCTCTAGATGATACTGAAGAACAGATGGCCAGAAAATAGCTAGATAAGCAAGAAGGAACTCTGGCAGGAAACGAACCAGTCAAAAATCTATAACCCTACAAATATGACGAAGGAAATGGATATTGAAAGGAAATACGCTAAGGAGGAACCTTTAATTGAAATCACATACCACATGCAGGCCCTAAAGTGTGGAGTCAGAATAGTGTTGGGAGTGGGTTCGTAGGCGACAAGAAGGAGATTATATTGAAGAGGGAAAGAACGCTTGCTAGGGGATTTCAGAATCACCTAGAATGGGTGACAGAGAACCGAGTGGAGTGGATACGTGCCCTTTGAAGCATGCTGTTTGCCTCCAAATGTTTAAAGTCAATTAAAAGTCAGCTGAGATTGCAAGTTACCTTTGTTTATAGACCCCCTTTCAAACTTGACTGATAGAATTCACTCACTCATCGTTGACCAAGTTATTATAAGAACAAGATATTATTAATATTATTCCCTTGGGTTCCGAGTAGAACATAAGGTTTCAACAACACATCTCCACTTTCTTCTATTCTCTGCTCTCCTCTTCAACTGGGCCGACGATTGTCCAGAATTTCTCATCTCCTCCTTCTCACACGATCTTCTCCATGTGATCCTCGCACTGATGACCCACACGTCACCTCTCATTGAGATTCCACTCAAGTGATGGCCTGCATTGAAAATGATTTCACTTGACGGCCCAGGCAACGTATGCTCGATCCATGTCCATTTTCTCCTATATATTTGTTGAGCGATTGGCTCTTTGTTGGTTTGTTCTACTGAAGAGTTCCTTGTTGCTAATTCTTTCTGGCTGGCCTGCTGGGCATTTGATCTTCAGTATGGAGACAGCTAGTGAAGAAGGCAGTTGTTGATAGAATTCTGCAGTGTCCTGTTGGTAATGCTTTTCGTGACTGACTTGACATTTGTGTTGAATAGAATCCGAATCTTGTTGTTAATTCTGAGGCGGAGTGGAGAAGATTTCCAAACTGGTTTCAGGTTGATGAAGGCGTACCTTGCCATTCCGATTCTGTCTGCCTTCACATCTTCAGCCGCCTTGACTGCCTGTGGATGAAACTGTGCTACCTAACCAGATAAGTGAAGGAAGTAACCTCTTTCAAACTTCTGTCACTGATAGTGAATGGTGCTTATCTTTGGTTGGTTGGTTGGTTATCTTCATCACCTGGTTCACCTAGAGTCCTATCTTTGCTGCCTGCCTAGCTCTTCTGACAGTTTATTGGTTTTCTCCTGCAAGTCTTCGAGTTTTTGTGATATTAGACATATATCATCTGCGAAATCCAAATTTTAAATATTTTCATCTGTTACCTATTTCATCTATGTGTTTTGTGAATAATAATAATAATAATAATAATAATAACAGCGTCGGTGAGAGAATTGTTGATACGACTTCATATATGTGTAAAACTTTGGCACTGAAATTCGAAATTAATTTGTTTTCCTGGATAAATCACAAAGTAACAAAGTTTACTACACAATTTGTTGTTCATAATCATATCACTTGTAATTACACAACTTAGAAACTTGATTATTACAGTTCTCAATCTTCTCCCCCTATTTTTCATAAGGGCAGTACAACCTTGCACATGTGCATGACACTTATTGAGTCATTCCCATTACAGGTATTCTTTAACGAATATATATATATATATATATATATATATATATATATATATAGGCTTCACTTATTAATTTCTCTTTGACCATCCTTGTATATTAAAACTTTACCAAATGTCATGTATGCTTGCTTTCTTGACTACCGTTTTTGGTATCAAGCAGATCACATATTCCGATGATTTGAATAACTTGGTTTCTAAAAGAAACTACGGTGTAATTTCATCACTCGAACTGTGCAGATTTCAAATTGCTAATCCAATCTGCAAATTGGTAATTTCATTTCGAACTGCCACTTTATCCCATCCCCTGTTGTCTGTGTGAAACTTCATACCATAATATTATTGCTGAGCTATTTTCTAGATATCTCGTCTTATTATTTTAGCTAATCTAAATTTTGTTAGGGTTTTCAGTTCCACTAATCTAATTGGCCCTATCCTACTACTATCACCAATTCATTCGACCCGACAGTCATCGTATAGGATATTAGATAAGTTGAATTATTTTGTTGAATAGACTTTGCAGAGTCCTTTAACTGACATTATTTGTCTTTGAATGAGCTTTCAGGTTTGAGTGCTGCTTTTCTAATCCTGTCTTTTAAAGAATTCTAAGTAGAAGTTTCAGACGCTCCCTCTTTTTTTGGACGGAAGAATTGCTAATACCACCATTGATGCAACTTCGCTAACAAAAGCTGACAGACATGTCCTTTTTATCTAACGTTTGGATTTTTATCTGTCTCGCAGTCAACTTTTACCCTTTTTCGAGCTTACCACCGGTTATGTGAAGTTTGGGAGTTCATCCCCTGGGAATGGAACCTCCATCTCCTTTACTTGACTGGTTGGTGAGCACTCACTCTACCAATAAACTACCGATGTCTTCTTTGTCTGTCATTTAAAGTGTGGTTTTTATTCTCTTTGTTTCTTTTCTTTTAAAGTTCATTGCAATTTACCAGAAGCTATGGATACTGACACTTCAAGAACGTGTGACAATTCTAATTATTCTTCCTCACTACCTTCAGTCGGTGGATTATCTTCTTCTTCATCGTCGTCATCATCATCAACATCATTAGCAGCAGTGGGAGCAGGAGGAGGCTCATCAGGAACAATGACACCTGCAATAACAATAATTCCATCTTCAGTAACAGGATCCATTAACAATACAACATTAGTAACAACAGCATTACCGTCAGCATCATCATCAGTATCTTCACCAACAATTACAACAGCTGTTGTTACTACTACAACATCAACATCATCGACTAATACTACTACTACAACGAATACATCATTAACTCAAAGACAGTATTATCGATCACATTGTGCACGTCCAAGATTTACATATGCTACTCTAATACGCCAAGCGATATTAGAATCACCAGGTCAACAATTATCATTAAGTGCTATTTATGTTTGGTTACAAAGAGAATTCGCCTATTTTCGACAGAATGAAGCAACATGGAAAGTGAGTTAATTAAAATTTGTATGTTTTCAGTACTGAAATGATTTTTTAAGTTTTTTTAGCATGTTATTTTAGTTGAGGGTGATTAGCAGTGGAATTCAGGATGAGTGTTTGATCTTAACACACCATTTTAATGTGTCTGCATTCAACCTTAATCCCCCCCACCCGCGGCCGCTAAATTGAGTGAACGGTGGTGGTGTTCCCACTGGAATTCGAAAGCAGCACTTATTGTTTCAAACGCCAAGGAGTTATCCATTAGGCTATGAAAGCCAGGTCTTGTGCCAGTAGTGTGTCAGTTGTTATTTGTCTTTTGGTTAATTTTCATTTCCCTTTGATTGTTTATATCAAACTGAAATGCTTATCCTCTCTCTCTGTTGTTCTCTGTAAATTAACTTATACAATACTCGAAATGTCGTTGCTTAGTTGGGATAATTCTATGTACACTTACTTAGTTTTAAAAAAGTAGAACAGAAAGTGATTATTGTATGATTAATAATTTAAAGTTTGGTGGATTCGCCTTTTGATAGTATTTCAACTGTAACATAAAACATTTATTTGATAATCACTGGATTCACATTATCTCTGTGACGTTAATGAGATATTCGATGCATTATCAGACACTGTGAAAAAACCTCAAACCTCAAAGAACTAACTGACCTAATAATTGAGTTTCAGCGTATAGGACTTTGCAAAGAAGTATACCGAATTGTTACACTCCATATAGCACAAAAAGGTAGAGAAAAAGGAAAAAAAATTTGAGGAGAAATATTAGTCAGCATAAATGTACAGGAGAAGGAATAATTGCATGAAGAAACATGAGGACTTAGTGGATCTAAGAGATTACAAAGAGTGAGTGTATCTGCGCCACTGAGAACGATTTTGAGGTATATCACCAACATTATCAAGCTGTTGGTGGTTGTTAGTGTCTCGACGACCCCAAGAAGCATTGATATCAAATAATTATCCTATAAAAATCATTAGGAAGATCAGTAAAGGCCAAAAGCAAAATAAAAATAATTGTGAAACTAGTAATCATAACATAAATAAGAGAGAATATAAGTCATCTACTGTTATACCATATAAGGAGGGGACGTCTGAGACCCCACATAGGATTCTCAATAAATCAGGAATTAGGGTGGTATTTAAACCTACAAACTCACTCAGAGACGAGCTCTGTAGGCTAAAAGACCCGGTGGACCCAATTAAGCAAAATAATATAATTTACAAAATACCTTGCAATGACTGTGAGTGAGGTCAACTACATAGGTCAAACTAGTAGGTCGGGGTTATCAGATTGTCAAAGCATAAGAATTTAGCTAAGGTAAGAATGGTTGATCCCGAGAAGATGAGTAATTTAGAAAAAAGCTCAGCGATTGCACTATGCATTAACACACAACCACACAATAGGGTGGGAGAGGGTTAATATTCTAAGAAATAATCCATGTAGTTGGGGAGAGATTGATTACTGACTTGCATAGTGTGCCCCCTAGCTGTAGCTCAAACTAGGGTAAAACACCTGTCCATTGTTCTCCAGCTTTCAATGGTTTTTCTAATATTAATGTCAAACTGTAACCGAAACTACCTTTAAATCTACTAAAAAAACATGAATTTAACGTCTCCATTTGTTTTCGAGCCAAACACAAGAATAATTAGGTAGCTGATGGATAACAATCCAGTTTTCACCACGTGAATTAAATACACGAATGTACAGCCTAGCTGATGACTTCGTCGAAAAGACAATTTAAGACTGTTTTGTTTGTGGTGTCATGTATATATGTGGAATCATTAATTAACACTACAGGTGAAAAAATTATGACGGTATATGTGTACATTTTAACTTTCAATGTGATAAGAGTGATTTGGATGGTATTCACTCACACATACCTTCTCCGAATACATTATCCTTCGAATTGTGATAGATTTTATTACATACTACCGTAATTATTCTATAGGAATACTGACTAAGTTTAAAATGAAATTTAGAGGTGTTTAATTTCTAATTGTGTTATCTAGTGCTTAAGAATGTAACTATTCACTTGTCAATATCTAAATAAATCTACTTTACGAACAACTAGTCAAATGTGACTGATTTTATTACTATGTTGCATATTTTCAATGATTGACTTCAGTTGAATAGTAAAAGGCACTGAACGGCTGTTTCTTCCTAGTTCCTGGGGTCTATCTGCAGCAGAGTACACCCAGAATTTTAACTAGTTGACAGAAATTAGGATTTATGGGTCATTGGACTCCATCCCAGTGATTGAACGACAACCTGCTCACCTTGTAGCCTGAAGGTTCTAGGTTTAGATCCTTGTCGGAGTCATGTTTCCGCATTCAAATTCTTACAACGCAACATTGGATTATTGTTCTGTCATGTTATCTAGGGGGTTAACTTTTTCTGGGGTAGTTGTGTTCTCTGAGTTGAATAGTTAATTTGCGAAGCTTTCATCGCCCTACTAGGCGACATCTTCAGCGCATACTTCAACTTGAAGGCCTCGTGTTAACTTTTTCTGTCATAACAGGTTTGTTGTTTAGAACAAAGTGAAAACAGTTGGGAGATGTTTAAAATCAATCAAGTATCATTGCATTCATTCTTCTCCTCTAAAATGGTTTCACTTCATATTGACCTCCAATCACCTAGATACACAACTACTATCAAATTTATCGTCTATTTTTTCACTGCATCGGTTTCACTGTAAGCCATTTTGCTGGGCGGATTTTCTCTTAATACTTCTATACTACTCAGGTTTCCACAAGCTTTGTAAAATAAGTAGTCAACAGCTCTATTTTTACGGAAACAAAATGAGAAGAAATTATCCTGTTCTCATTGCGTTTACGCCTTTCAAGTACTCTAGCAATTACATTGTTGTTATTATTTCTTTCCTCTCCCCACCAAGTCTGAAGATAAGACAAATTATTTTTCTGCTTAATTGTTGTCTAACATGTGGCTGTGTGTGTGTCTCAAGGTCTCCGGACTTTAATGGTGGTAACAATAAAAGTGAAGTAAACCAGACAGGCAGTCAAGCAACTCAATCCATTTGTTTATTATTGTTTATACTTTCCTTATTACTACTATTATTATTGTTATTATTATTATCAGTTATATTTTCTTGATCTCATCGGTTTACTCAGTTTACTCATTTCAGTCTTTGAGTTATGCACCTTCGAATTTCAGCAAGACATACAAATAATAATGAACTGATGTAATTTTATTAGTTGCTTTATGTGTGTGTGCGTGAACTGACCGTTTTCGTGAAATTTATTACTCTTTGTATTGATTGTTTTTGTGTTGAACAAACAAAAAGAGGAGAAATACAGCTACTAAGATTTTCATTGGTTAATTTTACTTTCAAGTTGCCTTTTTCAATCTCAATGTAGATTTTTGTCACGAATGGATGTCAGTTAGAGAGTCATGGGAAATCATTGTTGTATTGGATATTTGTTTTGTCTTCGCTTTCGGATTCTTCAACAGTGCACAACAATGATCCCATCAGAAATTGAATGAAGAAGTCGTGCTGGATGAACGCTCATCGATGACATTGGTTGTAAGCAGACATGTCAAGTAATCCACAACGGAAAACTCAGCGAGGCGTTTGGAGTTAACACAGGAGTCAGACAAGGCTGCTTATTATCACCAATGTTATTTCTAATTGTGGTGGACTGGATTATGCGTCAGACAGTGGGAAACGAGAAGACAGGGATATCCTGTACTGGTACCGACGTGAAGAACCTAGAAGACCTGGATTTCGCGCGTGGATGATTTATGTTTGATGTCACTGTCACAAAATAGAAGACTTACAAGCGAAAACCGACAAACTGGTCGAAGAAGCAGCCGGCGAACACAAGACTCCAAGGGAACACAGACAAGACGGAGGTTATGAAAATAACCAACCAACCAACCAACCAACAGCAGCAGCAGCAACATCCAGCGCCAATCACCATCAACGGGAGGGATTTGAAAGAGGTTACTTCATTCACTCACTGATCTAGGGAGCATTGTCTCAACTACAGGCAGTCGGAACATACGAGGATGTCAAATCGAGAATCATCGGGAAGGCGAGAAACACATTCATCAACCTGAAATCAATCTGGAAATCTTCGTCACTCAGCCAGCCAGCATCAACAACAAAATTCGGTCGGATTTTCAATACAAACGTCAAGTCAGTCAGTTCTTCTATACGGAACGGATCAGAAACTTGGCAGGCGAGTCACAAAGAATATTTCCAACAGCCAGTTGCAGACCTTTATCAACGACTGTCTTCGCTCTATACTGAAGATGAGATGGCCGGGCCGGAAAGAATCACCAACAAGAAACTATGGGGAGAAACAAAACAAGAAGCAATCGCCAGCCAACAAATATGCAGGAGAAAGTGGAGATGGATCGGACACTCGCTGAGGAGACCGCTGGGTGACATCGCGCGTGCGTCAGGCCATTGCTCGAGTGGAACCAGGCCGAAAGGGAAGCGGCGAGTGGGACGTCAGTGCAAGGGTGACATGGAGGAGATGGTGTGAAGAGGAGTTGAAAGAGTATGGACTAACATGGATGCAGGTGAAAAGTACAGCAGAAAACAGAAGCAAATGGAGACGTGCAGTTGAAGCCATCTGTTCCACTAGGAACCCAATGGAACAATAATAATAATAGACATATATTGCTAATTAACAGAAGCTGCAATTCACGGGTGATTGATCAACAAGTTTAACCTCATAACATGAATGTGATAGTTTCGCTCCTTGTGAGGTTTTGAGCTCACACTGTTGAAGAGTCTGAAACTAACTGTTGAATGCTCCCTGGTTTCCAATAGTTCACTAACTGTTGTTGATTCGTGAAAAAACTCTGCATTTAAATGAATTGATATTCTTACGAAACCCAAAATGTGAAACTTTTTGTTGCTCGAAGTCGCTTTTCGATAAAGTTTGCTTTTTCTTCACAAAGTTAAATGAAGAAGGTCCATGAACTTCAAGGCTTGTTCTGTTTCAGCTTTGTAGCGATTATAGCATTAAACTGACTGACATTATTTGATGACGACAGTGTTTAATGATTGTTCAAACCCTTGGAGATTTTTAGAGATTGTGCAAAGTAGGTAATTGTTCCCTTGTTTTTCAGTGTATTGATTACGATATGAGGAGTGAAAAATAAAGATGAATCACTGGGCTCAAAATACTGTCTAGTGATTTGTAATGAATTTCACACACACACACACACACACAATGACCTATAGGAGGAAGAATACGAAACCGGGTAGTGAGGCAAAGTATATTATTATATAACAACACGTGGTATAGATTTTAGACAAACAGTTTAACAGGAAAATTCTCCGATAATTGATCCACTACATTCCCATGAGAGAGAAAGAATCAAGATTATTGTCATCGTTTGAAAATATACAACATGTAACAGTTTCACAAGTGTTATATTATTTATTGTTTGAACTCATTTACCTAGAACAGATTTCTTTTTCTGTATTTTTTGCAATTCGAGTGTGGAACCATATTGGTTGAGACTTTGAAGTTTCAATAGCTTTTGTGGTGTTTCTATTGGATGGGGTTATTAGTCTCACACACACCTCAAACCCCTTCCTTCTTTTCCAGCTAAATGAGGTTTAGGAGCTTTTCAGTCGGGAATCGAACTCGGACCTCTCAAGCATGATTGGTGTGCATTCTACCAATAAATTAACATGTACATTGATAACTAAATAACTGGTATCATTACTGTTATTCACCTTACCTGTTGTTTTTTGCTAACAGAATGCTGTAAGACACAATTTATCATTGCATAAGTGTTTTCGACGATTGGAGACAACATCTGGATCTGTATGGGTCGTCGATGAAAGTGAATATCAACGACGCAAAGCTAAACGTGCAGTGTAAGTAAATACAGTGTGTGTTATTGTAAAAATCGAATACTTTACATTCATTTACATGCAGTTACAATGCAGAGAGCTGGACATTTATTTCGTCCTAGTTTGGAACTCTTCACCCATGATCGCGCCAGGATCGATTCTGAAATTAATCCAAATAGACACAAAACCCATAACCTAGATGTTTACTTGTTTATTTGTTGATATTTAATGCTAGAATACTGATTAACAAGTGTCTGGATATAATTTCTGCATGGATGGATCTTACAGTTGTGGGGATCGGATAACGGTAAACTGTAATGCCTAGACTTCTGATTTAACGGATGTCAAATGAAGGTTTTAAGAAACATTATTCACTTAGAAGAAATATATGCCTCATTTTTCTAGGTTCTTGAAAGTTTTTGATTGATTTCAAGGTGGATTTCGTTACGAGCTATTCCTCGTGTTCTAGTTTAGTACTCTTCGGTGGTAGTAAGCATCAAAGACTTTACTGGAGATCGAATTTGAAAAATTTAGACTACAAAGTTAACATGTTACATTGTTGAGTGGAATCCACGAATTCTGCTTCCCTCCAGTTCATGATATATGGTGCCATGGGGAGTTAGTGTTATCAGCGAGTAAATATTCTCACACTCAACTTGGTGGGTTGATTGGTGGTTGGCTAGTACTTAGTTGCCCGGTTCGGGACTGATGATATTACCCAGTCGCCCAAAGCCACAGCAGGTGGGGCGAAACCTCATCCCGGGACCTCTGGAGCTGAAAGTGGACTGCCTAAGCCGATAAGGCACATCTCCTTAATGGACCTCATCGTACTCCTGAAGAGTGCCAAACTATCATAAAATAGTTGTGCAGTATTCTATTCCTTGAAATTAAATGAAATCCATTCCAATTCAAACATTCGAAAATTAATCAGTATTGCAAAAATATTCATTCAGACATCTATAAAACACAAAATAATTGATCAAAGAATATTCTTTTCGATAAATTCCTCTTCCGGCTATATATATATATATATATATATATATATATATATATATATATATAGAATATTCTAGATAAGTAGTCAATAATAGCATTAGTGTTTTCTAAATACTACCGATTTGTAAAGTAAGATCACATTGGAATTACAGTGCATTAAAGATGCTTAAATTTTAATAATAATAAAGATATAGTAGCAAATAGAATATAAACTAAAATTAGGAAAATTCCACAAAAATTCATGATCATTCAAACCTAGATGGCCAAGGTAATGATAATGTCTGAACTAACTTCTTTTGGATGCATAAATTAGGCTTATTAATATGGATCTCCACAGCCTCAGTAATATTTAGTAGTCGAATTCTTAAAATGAAACTGAGACTCTTAGGTATGCGATAAATGACCCTGAAAGCCTGATTAACGTCAATCTTGTGTTCTGTATCCACAAGATGAGACAGAATAGCTCTGAGAATAGATTTTGTTTGTCCTTTGCTTAACCACGCAGGGTGATTTTCGGAAATTCGACGAGAAACACGCCTAATTGTACGACCTCTGTAACTGGCTCACTTCACAGGAGCAGTTAAATTGGTAGATACACATGGAAGAGGCGAAATTAGGCAGTTTGTCTTTTACTTCCGAATGCAAAAGAGGAGTGGTTTTAAAGATACAGCGTAATTCGGCAGCAGGGAATGCTCTTTTTACCGCCTCATTTCTAAGGCGCTGTGTTAGTATCTCGTTGGTGTTGGCCCCAAAGAACTTCATTTGTAAGAATAAGGCCTTTTTTAGAACTGTCGGTAACTTGGGTTGCCTTGGTTTTAAATTCATATTGTTATTTTTCTGCAACACTGTGAAGTGTGGGGCTTGATAGAATTAGATTTCTTCTTTTTTTGGGGGTGGGAAGGGGGGGACAGTAACTTGATTTCCTTTATAGACAACAAATGTCTTGAAGCTGTCACAGTTAAGGGGGAAGCCATTGTCTGTCAGTCCCCTATTTCCTCTTCTTCTTCCTGTTCATGGTAGTAGTAGTTGTTGTTATTATTATTATTTATTTTTCAAGGTTGGATCGACTTGGGCAAGCAAATATCTTTCTGTTGTTTTTTACCCCACTTAATAGAATGTGTAAATTCATTTACAAAATAGTACTTTTATTCCTCCTGTTGTGCATACGATTTAATCTTAATTGTATCTAGAGGAGAAGGAGGAAGAGGAGAAGGAGGAAGAGGAGGAGGAGGAAATGAACACTTTACACACTCAATCACTTACTTCGAAATGGCATATTACTAGTGCTGCTACTATACCGACTTTAATAAACATATCTATATGTATAATTATATTTCAATAGTTTACACACACAATGATAAGTTTTGTTATTGGCAATATTTCGAGCAAAATTACTACCCGTGTTCGCAACACTGTTGGAATTGTTTTATTCTATGTGTGTATATATGTATTCATGGGGAATATATGTATATATATAAGTCCAACCTATATGTATATATATTTTTTGCAGACGCCCCAATCACCAACACATATCACCTCCACCCACTTTATAATCTGATTTTTGACCACAGACTAAATAATAAAATATAAATCATCGAGGGAAAAGAAACTTTCGTGAGTGTATGTATGCTTGAATATTTGTGTGTTTGTGTGTATGCGTGCTTGCGTACGTGCAAGCGAGCGAGTGTCTCTGTTTGTTGTACTTTTATATACACGAAAATATATAATCAATGGAAATCTGTTGTTTGTTTGTTTTGTTTTTTGACAATCACTTTATATTATTTTTCATTCTTTTCCAACATATCCCATTCTATTTCATCTATCATCTTCTGCTGTTATTGTATATAACTAGTTTTTAACCACTGAAACATTATTATTATTATTTAGAGTGGAACAAAAGGCGTCAACAACACATCGAGATTTCATCCTGTTTTCGGTAGTTGTCTTAAGCTGACTGCCTCCGCGATTGTTCATAAGCTTTCATCTCTTCCCCTCACGTTCTCTCCTTCAATGTCATCCTTGGACCTAACTAAGGCCAAATTGTCGTTTCCCCATTTGGATTTCAGTAGAACGATGGCCTGATACGTGGTCTTGGTGGGTGTTTATTGGTCAGTAGGTTGTTGGTTGGTTCGCCGTCTGCCAGAGTTACATGCTGTTAATCCTTCCTTACCGGTCAGTCATCTGATCTTCAGAATTATTGAATGAAGAAGGTAGTTGTTGATAAAAATCTGCTGAAGCCTGTCAGAAATTCTGTCCATGATACGCAAAGTTTCTGCGTCATATAGAAGCATTGGTTGACTTGACATTAGTGTTTAAAACCCGGATCTTGTTCTTTATGCTAGGTGCAGTAGATTTCCAGATGAAATAATCACATAGTTATTATCTTTGTTTTTGACACACTATCTCATGGTTTACTATTACTACTACTACAGTTGATGTTCACACGTTTCATGTTTTTGGCACTCGCTAATACAACGTATCTGTCAACTCAAAGGAGCTGACATTTCCTCTCTCTCTCTTCTTCTTATTATTATATCCTTTAATTCCTAGAGGAACATAGGGCTTCAGCCGCGCGTCTCCATTGCCTTCGGTTCTCTGCTAGATTTTTCATCCCGCTCCAAGTCTGCCCATACGCTTTCATCTCCTCTTCACATGACCTCCTCCAAGTCACCCTTGCACTGACGACCAACTCGCCACTTCCCTTTTGGGTTCCACTCGAGGGCTTGTATAGTGATGTCACTTAATGGTTTCCTCAGAGTATGGCCAATCCACCCACCTCCATTTCTTCCTGCTTATTTGTTGCACAATCGGTTCCTGGCTGGTTCGCTCATTGCCAGAGATCCCTGTTGCTGATCTTCTCTGGCCGACCATCTGATCTTGAGTACTGAGCGAAGACAAGTGTTAATGAAGGTCTGTAGTTTGTTTGAGATGCTCTTTATGACGCGCCAAGTCTCTGATCCATCCGTATAGTAGCACTGACTTCACATCGGAATTGAAAATTCGGATCTTATTTTCATTTTCATGCTGAGCGCTGTTAACCTCTACACAGACTTGAGAGTATTGAAAGCTTGTCTTGCTTTCCCGATCCTCGCTTTGATATCTTCATCAGTTCCGTCAGCCTGTAGTTGAAACTATTCTTCCCAGGTAGGTAAAGGAGGTTGTTTCTTTCAGGTTCCTCCCATTTATGTTGGTTGTTGTCCGTTGTTTTTGCTGTTGGTGTTGGTCAGAAATCTTCATCACCTCTGTCTACACCTTCTCTATGTTCACCTGAAGTGAAGTCCTATCTTTGATGCTTCTTCTGCCGACTTGTTGCTTTTCACTTGCACATCTTTCAGTTTGTAGGAAATCAGACATATATCATCGGCGAAGTCCAGATCCTCCAAGTATTTTGTGTGGATCCATTTTATGCTTGTTTCCTCATTGCCCGCTGTCTGTTGCATTATCCAATCTACTGTAGTCAGGAGAATCATCTTGGATAGTAGGCAGCCTTGCCTTACTCCCGTCCTCACTTCGAAGGATTCCGTGAGTTTCCCGTTGTGGATTACTTGGCATGCAGCATTGTCGTACAACTGTTGGGTGAGATGTATAATTGTCGGCGGCACCCCGTAGTAGCGAAGTAGCTGCCAAATCATCTCTCGATCGACGCTGCGCTATCGAAGGCCTTTTCAAAGTAGATGAAGTTGAGTGAGGTAGAGAGGTGACTGCCATTCCAAGTTTTGTTCAATGATGATCCGTAGAGTGGCGATTTGATCAATACATGATTCTGGAAGTTCTAAACTGACGTCCATCAGTGTCAACAAGCATTATCAGACGAGAACGGATGTTCTCAACACGGTAATCATAAACATGCTGATTTCGCTTGATAGTGAAGATCACATAACCATCTAGAAAGGCCAAGCAACAAGGAACCCTGACAGACAGCGGATCAGCAAAGGATCTATTATCCAAAATAAAATATTCAGAAGAAAAGGAGGACACATACTGAGGTGATCTTCAAGTGATATCACCACATGCCAGACCGTGGGATG